GTTGTATAGATGTGTAAGAAGATTATAGGCTACTTGAAACTGTCATACGCCTTTTGGAAAGAAAATGGCGGCCGCTCAAAAACCTGCTTTGGTGCGGTTTTGGACATGATTTTGTTCGTTTTTTACAGGGAAACGGGTGCACTGATTTCGATGAAACTTTTTTTCTTTGTTCTATACATGCTTGAGAAGGTTATAGGCTACTTGGATTTTTGGAATTCACCTTAGGGCTCAGCCCCACGGGTCTACAAAGTTCCAATGTTATTCTTATGGACATTTTTTTTGTTTTAATGATTACCATAGTAACAGTAAGTACAATGTAAAATTTTCAAAACAATGTTTATTATCTTTATGTTGGAAAGAAAACAACTCCTGCAAAAATTTGTTGCGTCACTCCAGCTGTCTGTGCTTTATTTTGTTTATGTTTTGGCATTATTTATTGCTTTTAAGGTTATATTTCTTTAAAAGAAATATTTGTTTGCTAAGGGTCATTCGCCCGTCCACTCGGCATTGCTCTATTGGGCTTGACTCGCGAACTGCGTTTTTTTCTTATATTTTTTTCTTTTTTATGAACACTATCCTTGGAGTTTAAAAACTATATGTAGCCTGCTCAAGAGTCAGATCTTCTCGCAGCCTATTTATCCATGCCCCAGGTGGACGTACTTCCAATGTCGTCTATCAAGAGGCTGTTACGTCTCTGTATGTTTGTTTGTTAATTCTTCTAAGATACAAGTCCTTTCTTTATAAAACTTGTTTATTCTTCCTCAATACAACTTTGTAATGTACTTAATTTTCACAGTTACACACACTATAGTTCACAACGATTCACTCATTTTCTATCTCGCTTAGACTTAATTGTCCGTCCCCGCCAACTATAGTTCCGATCTCTGTGTCTGCTATCCTCGGTTCCCGCCGACCATAATCGCTGTCTTTCTTTCTCTCTGCCTGCTTCATCTCTGCTTCTGCTTCGTCTCTGTCTGTTTCTCTTACTGTCTAGCGCACTTAACTCAACACGTGCTACCAGCGTCATTGACTCCCGCTGTCGTAACACACTAGTGAATCTTCTACAATACTCCTCACGTGACCCCCACTGTCGTAACACTGTCCCTTCCTTAGTATTGTTCGTCCCGAACAATAGCCACTTACATTAAACTAGTAAACAATTAACAATAACTTAATTTAATGTATAGAATTTACAAACACAAAATTAAAATTCAACAAATTCTTTTAATTTTTTGGGACGTATCTTCTTCCGCACTGGTCTCTGTCTCGTTGGCTTCTGCTTCATGTGGGGTTCATCTGCTTCATCAGGAAACGTCTTATCATTGGTAACAGTCACATCAGTAATAGTAACTTCATCAAGGGCTTCACTGTTTCCCTTCTCAAAACTGAATAGAGTTTCTTCTTCGACAGTGGCTTTTTCAGGTGACACGTCTTCAGCAGCGTCATTTGTTCCGTTGTTTACTTCAT